GTTCCTCTTAATGCCTGGAAAACAGAAACATCATTTAAAAGACCACACTCAAACTGGGGGAAAGAAGACATGTGAACTTAATTAAACTTGACAAATAGCATATTGTGGTATGAAAGAATAGGTACTATTATGCAAAACTGTAAGCAATGAGAGCTATATTCCTTTTTCCCTTGGTGATTTGATAATTTTTAGCTTTCTACCGCCAATAAGCGAACCGCTTTTTAATTCTCTTGAACTGTGCCTCTTTTTACTTGGCACAATAATCTGTGATTTAACCAGTGTTTTCCAAATTGATCCATTGGCAGTGTTGAGCCAATGCCTTCTGAACCATAAAGTAGTTAAACACATTGCAGCGTATCAAGCTGTGCAAACAGAGCCAACAGGTATACCCTTTGGTATTTCATAGGTAACGCTATTATTTTTTTATTCTTATATTTATTGTTTTATCATTGAGAATAATACAAAACAATGACACAAACAAAATGAAACAAAAGCATACATTCAACCCTAACAACAACAACAAAAATAGTGTTCAAAAGAAGAAGAAAAAGTGATCAATTAAATTTAACATGTAACATGTAATAACATATCCTGGTTGGGTGCTGAAAGAAGAAAAAAAGCAGTAAATTCTCCTCCCATTTTGCAAATATACATTTGTAAAGGGGAGCTGAAAGAAAAGAAAAAGCTGTAAATTTTCCTCCCCTTTTGCAAATATGTATTTGTAAAATATACATTCCAGAGTGGATGGATATTTAAGGGCAGGGAGGGAGGGATAGAGGGTGAGAGTAGTTGCTGAAGCCATTTTCTGGAAGCAGACCACACAGAGAGGAAGAGGGTGAGAGTGGCTGGTTGGAGCTGTTTGCTTGAAGCAGGCCAGGCAGAGAGAGAGAGAGGGTGAGAGTGGCTGAAATGACAGGATTAAGGATTAAGTCAGAAAACACAAAACCACACAGAATTTACATTCCCTCTTCCCCAGGGCGAGCCTTGACCATGACCACCACTTTGCTTCTGATTCCTAAATAAATAGAGACCTCTTTTCCTGCAGCCTGCCTCCAAATTCATTGGCTCCTGTGTCTTTCTCCCGGCTTAGAAACAGACTGGATTTTACTTCTTACAATTTGGCATGCCAGATCAGACTCTAAGCTAACCTGACAAATGGGCCTGGCCCAGGTAAGTCTATACCTTGCCAGCAGCAGACCCCTTGTGTTTGTGGGTGGGTTTCCCAGATCTGGCTGTTTGGAGCAAGGGAGTTTTGAGTCTTGTGCTCAGTGGCTGCTTGGAAAGGAGATGAGTACCACTAAATTTTCAATAATTTGGAAACCCCAGGGCAGTGAAAGGACATGAGTGTGTGTGTGAGTGAAAGGGCTCTCCTCTCCCAGCTGCAGCTGGATCCTGCACCCTCCACACCATTCCTAGCTACATCCAGATCCATTGTTAGTCCCAAAGGACTACTGTATGACCAATGGGCTCTGGAAAGCAAGGGGGTTTGGCTGGAGCATAGGATCTTCTGCCAGGAGCAGGGGCTGGTGAGTGAAGGAAGGAAGGAAGAAGGAGACAATGCAGGATACTTGCTAGGGTCTCTGTCAGAAGTCAGAAGTTTTTCACACTGAAAACTGACAGCCAGGGTGGGAAGCTTATAAAAAAGCTTGGCCACAAGGGAGATCTGGAGGAACCAATTGAACCCTTT